CACTGGATCCACAAGACTTTCCACCCAGTGGCCTGTGATCTTCCTGCACTCAGCGGCATTGCATGTGTTGCATGAGTCTGAAGAGGAATTTACAAACTGGTATCGGACATATGGTTTAAGATTGGACTTATAGATTTGATCTGGACTGGGCTGGGTTATTTTCTTAATATACAATTACTCTTTTCTATAAAGCTCTTTGTTATACACACACACACACACAAATATATGATGCAAGGCTAGTCCTTGCTTGCAAGTACATAAACAAAGTTACTATTGTTAAGTTGCTGTCAAGTTGGACCTGACTCATGGTGACCGCATGTATTATAGAGCACAATTACTTCCTAGGGTGTTTGTTATTTAACTTTCTATTGTGATAAGGGTAAAAGTTCAGATAGCAAATTGGTTTTCCATTCACTAACTCATGCACATTTGTTTCGCAACATTGATTGCAATCCTCACAATGGAACAGCATTCTTCTCACTTGCTCCCTGCATTTCCCATTTCCACTTGTCCTTTTTCCTACCCCTTCTGCCTTTTGAACTTTATCTCTGGGAAAATACTGCCCTTTGGTCTCATATCATTGGTTATTCTAGGGAATACAGAGCTCCCTGATGCTGTTCTTCACCTTGTAGGTCTGTCTATTGTTTAGCTGAACGTTGAACCAAGCGGGTGGCTTTAAGAGTTGAAGTGTGACTAAGAGCTATAGTCAAAAGGTCCACAGATTTTCTTGGCTGTAATCTTGATGGAAGCAGTTTTCGAGGTCTTATGTTCCAGGGAGCCAGTGGATGAGCTCAAACTGCCAACTTTAGGCTAGCACCAGATCTCAATCCACTTGCACTGTCTAGGCTCCTTATAAACAGCATCCATAATTTCAAAACATTGCTATCAAAGATCATCAGAAGGCAAATTCACACCGAAAGTTTTATAGCATGCTACAAATTCTCTGGTACTAAATAAAAAGGAAGCAATTCAATGTGTGCTCACTCTAATAGCATGCAATCACTCATGGCAAAAAGTTGAAATGATGTAATACAAACTTGATTCTCAAATGTCCTTCCAACCAACCCAGAACAAACAATGTTTTACCCCCCTTTAGTCGTTGTTTACCCCCATGTCATGGTTGTGCGATGATTGACTGGATTGTTAATTTTCTTTTTTTAATTCCTAGATCTGTACAGTCACATGTGACAGGAACTAGGGAATGAATAGGCTCCCAGAAACGAGAAGGCCAAAGAGTGGATCCTGCTTCAAGCATAGCTGGATCTTGTCTTTTGTCTTTTTGCTTGGCCCTGCTTTTCTTTGTGGGGCTTCATCAGGCCACTAAGAGCTGCAGGGTTATATTATGCAACAATGCTAGGAAGGAAAGGGAGTAAAACTCTTGCTCACCCAGCATTTGCCTCAGTTTTTGAAAGGGAGTCCGATTACGTCAGCTGCATCTTCCTGGACTGATCATGTACCTAGAGGAAGTAGATACTCTAATCAGGCAGCCTGGTTCACAAATGCACCAGTCAGAGAAAGGAGGTCTATGTAATTGGCAGGCTCTGAAGAAACCACGGTTGACAGAGTGGTAGCTTTCCAAAGGAAAGGATCAGAGAAGACTCCCTCCCACCATCCAAAAACTAGTCACAGATGACCGCTGACATGAAACTTCCCCTAGGAATCAAAATTCTTCAGGCTGCAGGAGACTAGATAAAATGTAATTATTTTAGAAGCATGCTTTAGAAAATTGTCACCTTGAAGTAATAGATGGTTTCATTAGAATAAAAAAAACATGGCATTATCTAAATTACTTGAGGCATAACATGCAAACTCCTTGCTTTCTAGGAAACATGGAAGTGGCTTGTATTTTTAATGTGTTAGTAAATGGTACCAGGTTTCCAGCTTGAAATCGAAGCCACATCTTTATCCATAAAACAACTTCATAAAGAGAGGCATATTTTAGAGAGGAATATAAATCTCCTCAAATTATTCTCATCCAAATAGGTCCCAGAATTGTACCTAATTTGCTGGTCATGATATTCCTTCAGCCCTGGATGCTTCAGATGTGGACTCTGGTCTTCTTTTTCAAGCATCCCCTTGAACTTCAGTATAGCTCTGGGGCTTGAGCTGATAAAAACAAGTTATCTTCAACTTGTATGTTAAACTCTTCTTTTCTCTCTCAGAACCTGCCTGATTCCCAACTTCTACAAGAGGAGCTTCAGAGATTTTATGGGGAAATGCAACTGGCAGATAATGGGATTTTTTTTCCCCATGCACTTGTTGAAGCCTACTTTAATATCCTTCCTCTCCCCATAAATATTAACTGGAGACTAACTCCTATCCTGATCCCTAAAACAAATCTATGCTCTAGAAGAGTTCACGTCATCATTCAGAGACTTGATGTACAAAGTAATACTCACTGATAGACCAACCCTGACCTCAAGGTCCAATAACTGGACCTCTGTCTTGTCTTCAAGTTCACACGTTCTGGTAATTTGTTCTTCCTCGTAAGCATATGCTTATCCGTTCTCTGTAATTTAGACATACGAAATCTGCTAAGAACCACGCTGTCTCCATGCCTGAAGGCCAGGACTTGTTTCCTTCAGTCTCTGTGCTATGAACTCAGCCTCCTGCCACCAAGCCAAATAAACCACCCAGATCGCTTAAAGGAAATCTATAAAACTCAACTGCTATCTGTCAATGCCTTCCTTTCTCTATATGTTTTGTAAAACTCTGGTAAAATCCAGTCTGAAATGGGGTAATTGAAAATTGGAATTAACTCAATAGCGACTAACAATAACTTGGAATAAATAGGACCTCTTTTCTAGGATTTCAGATGAGTGATGTAATTTCGGATGACACT